GATTATAGACTAGATTATAGACTAGACTATAGACTAGACTATAGACTAGACAATAGACTAGACTATAGACTAGACTATAGACTAGACTCTAGACTAGACTATAGACTAGACTATAGACTAGACTATAGACTAGATTATAGTCCAGACTATAGACTAGACTATAGTGCAGTCTATAGACAATACTATAGTCCAGACTATAGACTATACTATAGTCCAGACTATAGACTAGACTCTATTCCAGACTATAGACTAGACCATCGTCCAGACTATAGACTAGACTCTAGTCCAGACTATAGACTAAACTACAGTCCAGACTATAGACTAGACTATAGTCTTGGCTATAAACTAGACTATAGTCCTGGAAATAGACTAGACTATAGTCCAGGTATAGACTATATTCTAGACTAGACTATAGACTACACTATAGTCCAGACTATAGACTACATTATAGTCCAGACTGTAGACTACACTATAGTCAAGACTATAGACTACACTATAGTCCAGACTATACACTACACTATAGTCCAGACTATAGACTACACTATAGTCCAGACTATAGACTACACTATAGTCCAGACTATAGACTTCACTATAGTCCAGACTATAGACTACACTATAGTCCAGACTATAGACTACACTATAGTCCAGACTGTAGACAAACACTATAGTCTAGACTATTGACTACACAATAGTCCAGACTATGGACTAGACTAGCTAGACTATAGACTAGACTATAGACTAGACTATAGACTAGACTATAGACTAGACTATAGACTAGACTAATAGACTAGACTATAGACTAGACTATAAGACGAGACTAGACTATAGACTAGACTATAGACTAGACTATAGACTAGACTATAGACTAGACTATAGACTAGACTATAGACTAGACTATAGACTAGACTATAGACTAGACTATAGACTAGACTATAGACTAGACTATAGACTAGACTATAGACTAGACTATAGACTAGACTATAGACTAGACTATAGACTAGACTATAGACTAGACTATAGACTAGACTATAGACTAGACTATAGACTAGACTATAGACTAGACTATAGACTAGACTATAGACTAGACTATAGACTAGACTATAGACTAGACTATAGACTAGACTATAGACTAGACTATAGACTAGACTATAGACTAGACTATAGACTAGACTATAGACTAGACTATAGACTAGACTATAGACTAGACTATAGACTAGACTATAGACTAGACTATAGACTAGACTATAGACTAGACTATAGACTAGACTAGACTATAGACTAGACTATAGACTAGACTATAGACTAGACTATAGACTAGACTAGACTAGTCTATAGACTAGACTATATACTAGACTATAGGCTAGACTATAGACTATAGTTCAGATTATAGATTAGCCTATAGTTCAGACTATACGCTAGCCTATAGTGTAGACTATAGACTAGGCTATAGTAAACACTATAGGCTTTAGTTTAGACTAAAAACTAGACTGTAGTCCAAACTATAGACGGGACTATAGACTAGAGCACAGTCCAGACATTAGACTAGACTATAACCCAGACTATAGACTAGACTATAGTCCGGACTATGGACTAAACTATAGTACCGATTATAGACTAGACATGACTATAGTCCAGACTATAGACTAGACTAGACTATAGTGCAGTCTATAGACTATTCTATATACTAGACTATAGTCCACACTATAGTCCAGACTATAGACTATACTATTGTCCAGACTGTGAACTAGACTATAGTCCATACTATATACTAGACTATAGTCCATACTATATACAAGACTATAGTCCAGACTATATACTACTCTATAGTCCAGACTATAGACTATACTATTGTCCAGACTGTAGACTAGACTATAGTCGAGACTATAGACCAGACTATAGTCCAGACTATATACTAGATTATAGTCCAGACTTTAGACTAGACTCTAGTCCAGACTTTAGACGAGTCTATAGTCCAGACTATAGACCAGACTATAGTCCAGCCAGTATCTAGTTCATACCAGACGAGTTTTTATTCCAGACTATTGACCAAGCTTTGTAGTAGATTTTAAAGTCGTATTCATTCGTCTTCACTTGTTGTTATTTAAAATAATAAAAATAATAGTGAAAATATCTTAAAACGCGTTATATGTGCGTGGCCATTAACGATTTCTTTTCGTGCATTTTTCATTTAACAATAAATGGGGTGGTGGTGGTGAATGGATACTTGGGCTGCTGTTGCTACTATTACGACAACTCTAGTTGAAGGGGTGCTTATGATAAACGGACCTAAACAACCTTTGAAATAAGAAGCTTTTTAAAATTAGGAAAAAGTAACCATTTTGTTAAAAAGAAAAATATTTCTGCGCGAGTTTTTAAGTTTTTTATTTCTCAAATAATATTAATTATTAAAAGCAAAGAAAAGAAAAAGGCTTCTTCTATGTACAATATTTCTAATTTATTAAGGAGGGGAAAATAATGGTTAATGAAACTAAAAGGAAGTAGTGGGCTTTCATTTCCTTTAACAAATTTATAAAAACAAGTTAAAATTTTATTAAATTCCTCATCATTTTTTGCCAAATAAAATCTAAAATAATTTTTATATAAGTTATATTAAACAATTTGATTGTGTCCTCTTATGAAAAATGTCCTTTTTAATATTTAATTTCTAATTATATTTAAAAAGTTTCATTTATTTTATGACATTTCTGTTTTCTAATGCATTTTGTATGAAATTTTTTTTGAAGACAAATTAGTTGTGACATTAAGCTTTATATGTATGTGTAATATAATTTTTTGCCAAAAGATAACGTTAAATGTTTTCACTATTTAGGCTTAAACAGAAAGCGCATTAAGTTTTATTCTTAATGGCTCAGATAATTGAATTATGAATTTTAAAAGATGGCCTCCCCCTCCGTCTTATTATTGTCATCAAACAAATCTTTTTAATATGATTTGAAAGGAATTATAAATACATATAAAATAAGACATTTTTTGGAAGAAAAACTCACATACGAAGTCTTTATTTAAGGATAGAGGACATTATTGATGTTGTGAAGAAATATTAAGGATGTAGATATAAAAATCCAGTCTATAGACGAGACTATAGTCCAAACTATAGACGAGAGTAAACTTCTTCAGACTACAGTCAAGGCTATTATGCAGACAAGAGTGCAGTCCAGCCTATAGATTTGAGTACAGTACTGGCAATATACTAAACTATAGTCCAGACTATAGACTTGACTATAGTCCAGACAATGCGCTGGACTATAGAACAGACTAGTATAGACTACACAATAGTCCAGACTATAGACTACACATTAGTCCAGACCATTGACTGGACTATACTCCAGTCTATGGACTATGTATAGAATAGATTATAGTGCAGACTATAGACTAGACTATAGTCCAGACTATAGACTAGATTATAGTCCAGACTATAGACTAGACTATAGTGCAGACTATAGACTATACTATAGTCCAGACTATAGACTATACTATAGTCCAGACTATAGACTATACTATAGTCCAGACTATAGACTAGACTCTATTCCAGACTATAGACTAGACCATCGTCCAGACTATAGACTAGACTCTAGTCCAGACTATAGACTAAACTACAGTCCAGACTATAGACTAGACTATAGTCTTGGCTATAAACTAGACTATAGTCCTGGAAATAGACTAGACTATAGTCCAGGTAATAGACTATATTCTAGACTAGACTATAGACTACACTATAGTCCAGACTGTAGACTACACTATAGTCAAGACTATAGACTACACTATAGTCCAGACTATACACTACACTATAGTCCAGACTATAGACTACACTATAGTCCAGACTATAGACTTCACTATAGTCCAGACTATAGACTACACTATAGTCCAGACTATAGACTACACTATAGTCCAGACTGTAGACTACACTATAGTCCAGACTGTAGACAACACTATAGTCTAGACTATTGACTACACAATAGTCCAGACTATGGACTAGACTATAGGCCAGACTATAGACTAAACTATAGTCCAGGCTGTAGACTAGACTATAGACTAGACTATAGTCCAGACTATAGACTAGACTATAGTCCAAACTATATACTAGACTATAGTCCAGACTATAGACTAGACTATAGTCCAAACTATATACTAGACTATAGTCCAGACTATAGACTAGACTATAGTCCAGACTATATACTATAGTCCAAACTATAGACTAGACTATAGCCTGGACAATAGTTTGGTGTATAGTCTAGTCTATAGTCTCGACTTTAGTCTAGTCTATAGTCTGGACTATAGTCTAGTCTATAGTCTGGACTATAGTCTAGTCTATAGTCTGGACTATAGTCTAGTCTATGGTCTGGACTATAATCTAGTCTACGGTCTAGTCTATAGTTTGGACTATAGTCTGGACTATAGACTAGACTATTGGACTATAGACTGGACTATTGTCCAGACTGTTGACTTAACTATAGTCGAGACTACAGGGTGGACTATAGGCCAAACTATAGACTAGACTATAGTCCAGACTATAGACTAGGCTATAGTCCAAACTATAGACTATATTATAGTCCAGACTATAGTCTAGACTATAGTCCAGACTATGGACTAGACTATTGTCCAGACTATGGACTAGATCATATTCCAGACTGTAGACTAGACTATAGTCTTAGACTATATTGACAAAACTTTAGTTCAGACTATAGACTAGACTTTTGCTGGACTATAGATTAGTCTATAGTTCAGACTATAGACGAGAATATAGTCTAGACTTAAAAGGTTAATGAAGATTTCAAATACAAATACACTCGAGGTGTCGTACTCTGAAGACCTTTAGACCTGTCCTTGGTTGGCTTGAAGCTTTTTTTTGCAAATAGGTTTGAAGGTCCTAACAGCTATTGAAAATCTATATAGTGTTAATGATGTACAATAAGAATAAATATTTAAATTTAAAAAACTGTATTTTTATTATAAATAATTATAAAAAAGCTAATAACATTATTAAAAAAAGATATAACCCATTAAAAAATCTTATTAAAAATAAAACCCTCTTAAAAATACTCTTAAACAATTACACTCGTGCTCATATACTTATTACAAAAAAAAAATATAAAATAATTTACATTCCCATTTTACATGGGAAACATTTCATCATATGTGGTATTTTCCATTAACATATTAGCAATGTCCAGGAACTTTTTCGACAATCCCTTCTCCAGGCCGGGTATAATTTCATTCAAATACAAATCTCGATTATCATTAATAATTGTATTGCCCACTTCACCTAAAACACGATCACCATTGAATAAATTATCTAAATGCATTTTGAAAACATCAATATTGATTTTCAAAGGCAATTTAGTGAAACGGACATATTCTACGCCATCTTGGGGTACACGTATTCCGCGTATTTTAACTAAAGCCTTAGCGTTTTCTGTAAGAAATTAAACGGGATATTTTAAAAAGAAAACAATATATGTGTTATTTACATACCCGCATAACCCTTAACATTACCACGCCCCTGCAAATCCAATAATAAAATATTAAGTTTCATTAGATATTTGGCGGTAAAATCAATTCGGGGCAAAGTCAAAGTCACATCAAATGCCAGATTTGAAGCATTAGCTCTGTAATATTAAAGATGGAGAAATTTGTTTTATTGAACTGTGATATATTTGAGATTTATCCTACTTACGCTAATTTATTTATAATAAAGTTACTGCCACCCCTCACCACCATATCGCTAAAAACCGCATGAAATTGACCACCTCTTCCCAATTCTATATTGTCTAGATAGAGAGGTTCCAAAGGTGGCGATTGATAACCATCACCTAAATCTCCATGAGCCAATAGAGGTCTTATATCGTCCACAGCTTTAATGATACAATTTTCTAAATCAGGATCATCACGATGACAGGGTACAATGGAGGAGGCTGTGAACGAAAGGGATTATACACAAAAAATTTAAGATCAATTTTCTTTAAATATTCTTAGATGATATGAAATACTAAAGGAACTGACTTACTAACCAACTGAACTAGAACTGAACTAGAACTGAACTAGAATTGAACTAGAACTGAACTAGAACTGAACTAGAACTGAACTAGAACTGAACTAGAACTGAACTAGAACTGAACTAGAACTGAACTAGAACTGAACCAGAACTGAACTAGAACTGAACTAGAACTGAACTAGAACTGAACTAGAACTAGAACTGAACTAGAACTGATCTAGAACTGAACTAGAACTGAACTAGAACTGAACTAAAACTAAAACTGAACTAGAACTGAACTAGAACTGAACTAGAACTGAACTAGAACTGAACTAGAACTGAACTAGAACTGAACTAGAACTGAACTAGAACTGAACTACTAAAACTGAACTAGAAACTAGAACTGAACTAGAACTGAACTAGAACTGAACTAGAACTGAACTAGAACTGAACTAGAACTGAACTAGAACTGAACTAGAACTGAACTAGAACTGAACTAGAACTGAACTAGAACTGAACTAGAACTGAACTAGAACTGAACTAGAACTGAACTAGAACTGAACTAGAACTGAACTAGAACTGAACTAGAACTGAACTAGAACTGAACTAGAACTGAACTAGAACTGAACTAGAACTGAACTAGAACTGAACTAGAACTGAACTAGAACTGAACTAGAACTGAACTAGAACTGAACTAGAACTGAACTAGAACTGAACTAGAACTGAACTAGAACTGAACTAGAACTGAACTAGAACTGAACTAGAACTGAACTAGAACTGAACTAGAACTGAACTAGAACTGAACTAGAACTGAACTAGAACTGAACTAGAACTGAACTAGAACTGAACTAGAACTGAACTAGAACTGAACTAGAACTGAACTAGAACTGAACTAGAACTGAACTAGAACTGAACTAGAACTGAACTAGAACTGAACTAGAACTGAACTAGAACTGAACTAGAACTGAACTAGAGAACTAGAACTGAACTAGAATGAACTAGAACTGAACTAGAACTGAACTAGAACTGAACTAGAACTGAACTAGAACTGAACTAGAACTGAACTAGAACTGAACTAGAACTGAACTAGAACTGAACTAGAACTGAACTAGAACTGAACTAGAACTGAACTAGAACTGAACTAGAACTGAACTAGAACTGAACTAGAACTGAACTAGAACTGAACTAGAACTGAACTAGAACTGAACTAGAACTGAACTAGAACTGAACTAGAACTGAACTAGAACTGAACTAGAACTGAACTAGAACTAGACTACTGAACTAGAAGCTGAACTAGAACTGAACTAGAAACTGAAACTAGAACTGAACTAGAACTGAACTAGAACTGACTAGAACTGAACTAGAACTGAACTAGAACTGAACTAGAACTGAACTAGAACTGAACTAGAACTTGAACTAGAACTGAACTAGAACTGAACTAGAACTGAACTAGAACGACAGAACTGAACTAGAACTGAACTAGAACTGAACTAGAACTGAACTAAGAACTGAACTAGAACTGAACTAGAACTGAACTAGACTGAACTAGAACTGAACTAGAAAACTGAGAACTAGAACTGAACTAGAACTGAACTAGAACTGAACTAGAACTGAACTAGAACTGAACTAGAACTGAACTAGAACTGAACTAGAACTGAACTAGAACTGAACTAGAACTGAACTAGAACTGAACTAGAACTGAACTAGAACTGAACTAGAACTGAACTAGAACTGAACTAGAACTGAACTAGAACTGAACTAGAACTGAACTAGAACTGAACTAGAACTGAACTAGAACTGAACTAGAACTGAACTAGATCTGAACTAGAACTGAACTAGAACTGAACTAGAACTGAACTAGAACTGAACTAGAGCTGAACTAGAACTGAACTAGAACTGAACTAGATCTGAACTAGAACTAAACTAGCCCAGAACCAGATGATCGATCACGTGATTTATTATTTTATTGTTCATGAACTATGTTATCACTACTTTTATATTATCAATTATGAAGAATTTTATTAATTTCCCTGTTTTTTTCTCTTGTAATTGATCAATTTCTTGTTTAGATAATTTACTACTTTTCGATCAAGAAACACGTTCACTTTTTTATTAAAAATTTATAGAAATTTATTGCATTAAGCCAATTTTAAACATCAGCGACCTTGATTTATGAAAACGTGCTCAGATTTTAAAAGATAATAATAATACTCCAAAATCAAACGGTTATTTCTTGAAAAAACGATAATTGTGTTTATCAATGATAACAAAATTAATATAAACAAATAAATTTAATATAGAAATTTATTTAATATCCATTTGTGGCCTATGTGCGTCCACATTATTTTAATTATTTTAAAAATTCCAAACACATTTAATGTCATTCACTTACAAGCTTTACTTGATAGGCGCTTTAAAAATATTAATCAATTTTTTTTTTTGTAAAAAAATATAGTTATTATTAGTCTTAGTTGATTTTGCAAAAAAATAAAACTAAACAAAACAAATAATTATGTTGTAATAAGTGGGGAAGTTTTGTTAATTTTTGCACACTTTAACAAAATGCAATTTTAAATATGGTATTGGAGGTATAAATAAATTATTGACCATTACTAAGGTCCAATATAAATTGAAAAGTAATTTATTCCAGAAATTCGCGAATATTCCATCATATTTTTTTTTAACAAACTCTAGAACTTATAAATTTATAATAACAATGCTTAAAGCTTTTACGAAATATTTACCCCTAATACTTTTGCTGTTATGATTATTATTCGAATTTTGTTAATTTATTCATATTTCGTTCAATTTGCAGATGTTGTAGCAAAAATGCAATGCTTAGTTAATAAGTTCTTTTAAAGTTTATAAAATTTGTTTGCTTTAAGACAAAAGACATCTAAGTAGACCTTCATGCTAAATTATCTTTAAGTTTACTTAAGTAAATTATTTGTCCAAAACTAACATCTTAATTGGTAATAATTAAAGGTGTGTCTAGGCCGTTTCTTTTAGTCTAAAGTCTTTAAAGACTTTAACACTAACTAAATATTGCAAATCTAACAAGTACTTACAATTAAATTATTTAATTAAATTAGAATTAAGAAGTAAATTTGTTAATTAATACAAGAGATTTTGTAATTTATTGTAGTAAAACTTAACTGGAATAGAACTGAACTAGAACTGAACTAGAACTGAACTAGAACTGAACTAGAACTGAACTAGAACTGAACTAGAACTGAACTAGAACTGAACTAGAACTGAACTAGAACTGAACTAGAACTGAACTAGAACTGAACTAGAACTGAACTAGAACTGAACTAGAACTGAACTAGAACTGAACTAGAACTGAACTAGAACTGAACTAGAACTGAACTAGAACTGAACTAGAACTGAACTAGAACTGAACTAGAACTGAACTAGAACTGAACTAGAACTGAACTAGAACTGAACTAGAACTGAACTAGAACTGAACTAGAACTGAACTAGAACTGAACTAGAACTGAACTAGAACTGAACTAGAACTGAACTAGAACTGAACTAGAACTGAACTAGAACTGAACTAGAACTGAACCAGAACTGAACTAGAACTGAACTAGAACTGACTAGAACTGAAACTAGAACTGAACTAGAACTGAACTAGAACTGAACTAGAACTGACTAGAACTGAACTAGAACTGAACTAGAACTGAACTAGAACTGAACTAGAACGAACTAGAACTGAACTAGAACTGAACTAGAACTGAACTAGAACTGAACTAGAACTGAACTAGAACTGAACTAGAACTGAACTAGAACTGAACTAGAACTGAACTAGAACTGAACTAGAACTGAACTAGAAACTGAACTAGAACTGAACTAGAACTGAACTAGAACTGAACTAGAACTGAACTAGAACTGAACTAGAACTGAACTAGAACTGAACTAGAACTGAACTAGAAACTGAACTAGAACTGAACTAGAACTGAACTAGAACTGAACTAGAACTGAACTAGAACTGAACTAGAACTGAACTAGAACTGAACTAGAACTGAACTAGAACTGAACTAGAACTGAACTAGAACTGAACTAGAACTGAACTAGAACTGAACTAGAACTGAACTAGAACTGAACTAGAAATGAACTAGAACTGAACTAGAACTAAACTAGAACTGAACTAGAACTGAACTAGAACTGAACTAGAACTGAACTAGAACTGAACTAGAACTGAACTAGAACTGAACTAGAACTGAACTAGAACTGAACTAGAACTGAACTAGAACTGAACTAGAACTGAACTAGAACTGAACTAGAAACTGAACTAGAACTGAACTAGAACTGAACTAGAACTGAACTAGAACTGAACTAGAACTGAACTAGAACTGAACTAGAACTGAACTAGAACTGAACTAGAACTGAACTAGAACTGAACTAGAACTGAACTAGAACTGAACCAGAACTGAACTAGAACTGAACTAGAACTGAACTAGAACTGAACTAGAACTGAACTAGAACTGAACTAGAACTGAACTAGAACGAACTAGCATACTGAACTAGAACCGAACTAGCACTGAACTTGAAACTAGAATTGAACTTAAACTGAACTAGTGCTGAACTAGAACTGAACTAAATAGAACGGATCTGTCAATTCGTCCGCTATGCAACTCTAGATTCAAATGGTTCACAATATCGTTACGATACACAAATATTCGCGAACAAGTGTGGATGTCCTGTAGACACCAGATAGAAACCTTATATCAGGTTTATCGCCAATACAAATTCGCATATTTCTATTGTATATCCATTTTTCTGCCCCTTTTTGCTGAAATTAATGTGCAAATATATTGCATTGTCAGAGAGAGTAAATTCCACTACACTTTATATCTTCAAGAACAAGTTCAAAATTTACACAAATATGTATGTCCCTAAGGATGATATGAGTGATAGAAGTTTGATACGTAGAAAAGATATAGGCCGATCTTTTTAAAACAAAAAATACTGGTAATCTATTTTCAAATTTCTGTGAACTAATACTTTTGTATTCTAAAAACTTTTAGCAATAATTCTGTTATAAAATCGAATAAAACTGTTATAACACTAAAAATATTTAAAAATAACGAAAACAGTGAAATATTTTACAAAATCTTCTACATTTCTTCAAAAGATATTTAAAAAGGGTTTTAAATTAAAAAAAAGTGCTTTAATTAATAACTTACGCAGTTTTCCCAGACAAATTTGTAACGATGACACGAGTATGACAAAAATTAAAACATTTATTTTAACGCACATTATGTTGAATGAAAATGACAATGACTTTTAATGATTTTTTTTCAAAAACCAACGAAACACAAAGGGAACTAGTTAATTATTGTACTAAATTTAGTTACTTATTAATAATTTTATTTTAATTAATTTTTTTCTTGCTTCTTTCGAGACACTGACACTAAAGAATGAAAATTTGATTTGATGAATGAATGAAAAAAGTGATCGCACTTAAACGAAACGATCTAAGCTGAGAGCCACTCAGCTAGTTATGAAAACTTAACAGCAACTGAAATTGTAAGATCCAAAACACTCTGTATTTGAACTGAAACTTCGAAAAATCAAACAAATCAAACTGACCGACAGCCACTACAACATATATGAATTGTTTGTGATTGTATTAAAGTAGCAAGTGTAGTATATATTTGAATACCACTTGGACTCGTAAATAATAAACAAAAACATACAAATAATAACAATAAATACTGACAACTACCTTACAGCAGTAGCAGCGCTACTACTATAAACAGCTGATGGGGTTTTCAAACCAAAAGCTTTGATTCATGATGTTAATAAAACGAAGCTTAAATTCAAAACGTAAATTTTAGAGGGTTACGCATATAGATGGACCTTTAAACTTCAATTTTCTTATAGAAAACTGTCTTCCTAAGACAGATTTCAAATAGAAAACTTATCCAGAACGGAGCTAGAACTGAACTAGAACTGAACTAAAACTGAACTAGAACTGAACTAGAACTGAACTAGAACTGAACTAGAACTGAACTAGAACTGAACTAAACCTGAAATAGAATTGACCTAGAACTGAACTACAACTGAACTACAACTGAACTAGAACTAAACTAGAACTGAACTAGAACTGAAGTAGAGCTGAACTAGAACTGAACTAGAACTGAACTAGAACTGAACTAGAACTGAACTAGAACTGAACTAGAACTGAACTAGAACTGAACTAGAACTGAACTAGAACTGAACTAGAATTGAACTAGAACTGAACTAGAACTGAACTAGAACTGAATTAGAACTGAACTAGAACTGAACTAGAACTGAACTAGAACTGAACTAGAACTGAACTAGAACTGAACTAGAACTGAACTAGAACTGAACTAGAACTGAACTAGAAATGAACTAGAACTGAACTAGAACTGAACTAGAACTGAACTGAACTGAACTAGAACTAGAACTAGAACTGAACTGAACTAGAACTGAACTAGAACTGAACTAGAACTGAACTAGAACTGAACTAGAACTGAACTAGAACTGAACTAGAACTGAACTAGAACTGAACTAGAACTGAACTAGAACTGACTAGAACTGAACTAGAACTGAACTAGAACTGAACTAGAACTGAACTAGAACTGAACTAGAACTGAACTAGAACTGAACTAGAACTGAACTAGAACTGAACTAGAACTGAACTAGAACTGAACTAGAACTGAACTAGAACTGAACTAGAACTGAACTAGAACTGAACTAGAACTGAACTAGAACTGAACTAGAACTGAACTAGAACTGAACTAGAACTGAACTATAACTGAACTATAACTGAACTAGAACTGAACTAGAACTGAACTAGAACTAGAACTGAACTAGAACTGAACTAGAACTGAACTAAAACTGAACTAGAACTGAACTAAAGCTGAACTAGAACTGAACTAGAACTAAACTAGAACTGAACTAGAACTGAACTAGTACTGGAACTTAACATATGTAAGATTAACGTCTAAGTCAAACATTTTCATAAAAATCCCTCTAACTAATGAAGTAAACTAAAGGAAGGTGTCAAAGGTCATCTGCATATAAGGAATTTCATTAAGCGAACCTTTTACACAAAAGAAACAACTTCTTTTTTCCTGTAAAAAAGAACCAATTATTTTCACATTTTTCATAAAAAAAGAAATTTGCAACAAAATGTTGCAATTAAATGTCGAGCAAAAAGTCATTTAAGCGTAAATACACAATAATTAGTGATTACATTCAGGGGTAAGTGATGACATTTGATTGATTTTTACCGTTTTTTTAAAGAAACAAACCTTTGCACTTAAAAAATCAACAACTTTTTTTAATTGTACTTCGCAATTGTCATTATTCTATTGATTGAACAATAGAATTTAGATTTGCTGATGATGGACATGTGATATGAGAATAAAGCATGAACAAACATATGAATACTGGGCATCGTGGATTTTGACAAAAAAAAAAAGAGGAGGTAACAATGGCAACCACAACGTTGTGGTGGTTGTTAACTTTACGCTTAATCTGTTTAACGTTACAATTGTTTGTTGGTTGGTTCGTTAGTAAATTCAATACAATTTTGAATTTGAATTTTGTATTTTGTTTTCAAATCAAACAAAAATCAAGCATTAGTGTTTTTGAGGGAAAATTTTGTTGTTAACTAAATAACTAACGAACTAACTAGCCCAGATGGAAGATTGACATCTACATAATCATACATTCATATCCTTACACATACAATTGTTATTGTACTATATGTCCTTTTTTTCGCTGTCGCCTTTATTATGACATAGAAACGTTACAAATTGTTGATTTTTTATTTGTATATTTCGTCTTGAAAATGTCAACAATTGTTAAAATTCTTTATTTTATCGTAAATTGTTACAAAAATTTTTTATGCAAATTTTCGTCCATGTTTGATTATTGTTTTTAGGGGTTTTGTCTCATTATGAAACATTTGGGAATCATAAAATTCATGCGTTTTTAAAATTGCATAAATTGAGAATTTTAAACAAAACATAAACAAATTTTACATTAACATACATATCTATAAATAATTCCTGGAAATGTAAAACAAAATAAAGTATTTATTTAACTTTAAAGTCAAATAATGAAACTGAACTAACGGAACTAGAACTGAACTAGAACTGAACTAGAACTGAACTAGAACTGAACTAGAACTGAACTAGAACTGAACTAGAACTGAACTAGAACTGAACTAGAACTGAACTAGAACTGAACTAGAACTGAACTAGAACTGAACTAGAACTGAACTAGAACTGAACTAGAACTGAACTAGAACTTAACTAGAACTGAACTAGAACTGAACTAGAACTGAACTAGAACTGAACTAGAACTGAACTAGAACTGAACTAGAACTGAACTAGAACTGAACTAGAACTGAACTAGAACTGAACTAGAACTGAACTAGAACTGAACTAGAACTGAACTAGAACTAGAACTGAACTAGAACTAGAACTGAACTAGAACTGAACTAGAACTGAACTAGAACTGAACTAGAACTGAACTAGAACTGAACTAGAACTGAACTAGAACTGAACTAGAACTGAACTAGAACTAAACTAGAACTGAACTAGAACTGAACTAGAACTGAACTAGAACTGAACTAGTACTGAACTAGAACTGAACTAGAACTGAACTAGAACTGAACTAGAACTGAACTAGAACTGAACTAGAACTGAACTAGAACTGAACTAGAACTAAACTAGAACTGAACTAGAACTGAACTAGAACTGAACTAGAACTGAACTAGTACTGAACTAGAACTGAACTAGAACTGAACTAGAACTGAACTAGAACTGAACTAGAACTGAACTAGAACAGAACTAGAACTAGAACTAGAACTGAACTAGAACTGAACTAGAACTGAACTAAAACTGAACTAGAACTGAACTAGAACTGAACTAGAACTGAACTAGAACTGAACTAGAACTGAACTAGAACTGAACTAGAACTGAACTAGAACTGAACTAGAACTGAACTAGAACTGAACTAGAACTGAACTAGAACTGAACTAGAAGTGAACTAGAACTGAACTAGAACTGAACTAGAACTGAACTAGAACTGAACTAGAACTGAACTAGAACTGAACTAGAACTGAACTAGAACTAAACTAGAACTGAACTAGATCTGAACTAGAACTGAACTGAATTAGAACTGAACTAGAACTGAACTAGAACTGAACTAAAACTGAACTAGTACTGAACTAGAACTAGAACTGAACTAGAACTGAACTAGAACTGAACTGAACTTGAACTTGAACTTGAACTTGAACTTGAACTAGAACTGAACTAGAACTGAACTAGAACTGAACTGATCTAGAACTGAACTGATCTAGAACTGAACTAGAACTGAACTAGAACTGAACTAGAACTGAACTAGAACTGAACTAGAACTGAACTAGAACTGAACTAGAACTGAACTAGAACTGAACTAGAACTGAACTAGAACTGAACTAGAACTGAACTAGAACTGAACTAGAACTGAACTAGAACTGAACTAGAACTGAACTAGAACTGAACTAGAACTGAACTAGAACTGAACTAGAACTGAACTAGAACTGAACTAGAACTAGAACTGAACTAGAACTGAACTAAAACTGAACTAGAACTGAACTAGAACTGAACTAGAACTGAACTAGAACTAAACTAACTGAACTAGAACTGAACTAGAACTGAACTAGAACTGAACTAGAACTGAACTAGAACTGAACTAGAACAGAACTAGAACTGAACTAGAACTGAACTAGAACTGAACTAGAACTGAACTAAAATTGAACCAGAACTGAACTAGAACTGAACTAGAACTGAAAAGAACCAATTCGACCTTCTTTTCTAGATAAAATTCAAGAGTTTTATTCTTTTTTTAGATCTTGTGGATAAAAACTCTTCAGATATTAAAAATTGAGTGAGACCACCTTATATTTATTACCTAAAATAAGCCAATCATATCCACATTAAATACGAACATATGATTAAAACCATAAAATCGTATGTTTTTGGTAATTACTTAAATGGGTGTAAAACTTGTGTTACGAATTAAATTATTTAAGTTAACAAACAAACATAAGACAGATAATAAAATTTCAAAACTTTAGCAAATATCCCTAACGAACTTACCCACCCACCCACTCACTCACTCATTCGCCAAATAAAGGAAATAACCACCTCATAAGATGTATAACAAAACTAATCTAGAGAAATGAGTGCAAGCAAAAATGTTTTGTAGAAAAGTGGCAAAAGTTATGGTCATAAAATCAAAAAACATGTTTATTTTTTTAAAACAAAGTACATAGGCTTAATAATTGAGAGGACTTTTCCCATTTTTTCTATTTGTTGGGCAGCAAAAAGATGTGTTAACATACTTTTTTAACACGTAAAGTTGTCCGAGAAATGAAAACATAATAGAAGTGAACAAAATAATCAAAATAAAAGTACATCAAATTTATAATAAATTACACAGGTAATCATGATGGAAATGCATAAGTACAAATTTTTTCAAATGGGGCGG